CTTAGCAGAATGGCTTCAAAATTTATAGGCGTGTAGGTTACATCATAGAGAACTCACAAAAGAACATTCAGAAAAAAAAACTTATTTTGAGGCCCCGAAAAAAAATTTGGCGGGGGCCGAACCTGGAGGTGTTCGGCCCCCGAACGGGACCCCGAACGCCCGAACGTTCGGGGTCCAGCCCGGGGGCCCCCGAACGTTCGGTCAGGTGACCCTCCGTAAGTTCAGCCTAGCAACCTTATATATATATATATATCCTTTAATAAGTCTGGAAGTCTTGACATCATCCTTGGAATGTCTTTTTATAAGGGCTTGAAAATCTGCCTGAATTGTTGATGCATAGAATGATAATGCTTTCATTGTCAATTTCATGCTTAGGATTTCCTTGGTTATACGCATCTCAATTTTTTCATTTTTTTCCCATTTTTTTGAGCTTGTTTCCGCACCTGCATACGACGACGGCAACACGCAGAAACATCTATGACTTCCAATCGTACAGATATTAAAAATCTCTATATTTTTTACCCCCAATAAATTATCATGACCACACCCGAAAAAAACATATTACCTTACATGAAGAATTTCTTCTACATGACATTTTTCGATGATTACGAATGAGTTTTTCTTAAGATTTGAATACTTCGAAATTCTGTTTTTTCAACCCTTTTTTTAATAATTTCAACAACAGACTCATGTTTATCCCGGGACTTATGAATGATAGCAGCATGCGACATGCGATTGTTAATTGCGCGTAGTGCATACACTACCACCCGTAACATGATCCTGGATCTATTATCTTGTATCGGGTATCTCTGGTCTATATTCCAAATATTACCACTAAAATTAAAAATCACTACCCAGTGTACCCACATCCCTACCCTTGATCTCGACGAACTTACGTCAGATGTGAGGAAATATGCATATCCTAGATACGCTTCACAATAGAACCTTGGGCATGGGAATACTGCTTTTCTATACCTTGCACCTACGTAGCACCGTGTTCCCGCTTGGAGGCGAACGTGAACATATTCGCCTGAACGCAAACAAGCGCCCAAAACCCTCCGAACTCAAACATAAAAAAATATTAAAAAAATAATAATAATAATAAATTCGGTTTTTTATTCTGAACTCATGATTGGCTATGAATTTGAGCATGACTCTCTGGCAAAAGTTTCTCGTATTGGTATTTTACATAACATATATTTTGTTCAGATTTTTCCTAGGCTTCCAGTTGTCCGGGCCCGGACGTCCGGGACCCCCCTGACTGTCCGCCCAGGACGTCCTGCCATCGGACAACTGGTAGCCTAGGAAAAATCTGAACAAAATATATGTTACGTAAAATACCAATACAAGAAACGTTTGCCAGAGAGTCATGCTCAAATTCATAGCCAATCATGAGTTGAGAATAAAAAACCAAATTTATTACTATTTTTTTTTTCTAATTACGAAAAAACAATTATGTTCGTCCGAACATGTTCGCGAGCTTTTTCTCGAACATGAAGGGGAGTGAACACGTCCACCGTGCTATGCAGCCATGCACTAAGATACACTCCAAAGTTCCAAACCTTCTTCACCTATGATTATGATCATAATATATTATTCATAATAGTCAAATCAATCTAGTATCCACCCCCACGCGATTTATAAGCATTTTTTACAAGCACATATGTGAGACAACTCTTGGAATAATGCCTCTTAGGTTTTGGTATGCGTAGGTTACTAGGCGGATAACCTTAAGAATGCCCTTGTGTATCATTGTTTCGAATGATAGTAATGTCCAACTCTTGTATCTGTTTGATAAGAATATTGGGGGTTGCGCCGAAGAATTATTTTGGAGTTTGATCGTGGTATGATTCTCATATGATGCTTCAACATGTCGTTTTTTACACATGGCGTACCATAACACACACATACAAGCAACCAGCCAAAATAAGCACTTTTGTTTGTTATTTTGTAGGTTATTTCGATTTTTTTATTTTTTTTTAATGTCATCATGCTGTGGGGCTTGAGGCAACTGTAGCTGGGTGAGTCCGAAAAAAAAAAAAAAAAAAAAAAAAAAAAAACCACCGCTCTTTCGTGGTCTGCCTGTTCACAGGTGCTGAGGTGCAGGGCCAAATGACCGACCGGTCACATTCAAGTGACCGGTGGCGGTCACATTCAGGTTGACGACACTGTCACATAATCCCCCGAGTTGGTATTAGTACGGGCTTTGGCCATCAGGTGCGTGTGAGGGTTGCCTGGTGTATGGGTGAGTGCTGGCCATGGACACTGCTGTCATTCGATGGGGCCGGGAGAAGTAAATAAGAGGCACAGTTACTTCCAAAATGCTTGGTGCCGTTGGTGGTGTTGCTTTAGCCGGCCCCCGGCACCTGCATCCCTACCGTACTCCCTGACCACCGTCGATTAGGAGGGGGGCAACATGCATCTGTGACGCCCAAACCTCACGCCAGGCGCGACTTCCTGATCGGAGTGGGATGGGGGCCTGGAAGTGCGAAGAGGGGTGTGCCAAGGATTTTTGGAAAAGTGGGGGTTGAAATCCCAGGTCGGAACTGGGATCTTCTATGGCAGAGTTCAATGGTCGTGGGCGCAATACTGCCGAAGGGCAGGGCAAGCGCGCAATTACCGCCTATCTCACCGTTTCGGGTTTGATGGGGATCACTGTAGGGCGGGGGACTGCCGCGCGTCCTGCCTGGAGACTCGAAAGGGGGTCGATCGTTGCCCACGGCGTGAGTTATGGGCGCGCTGGCCAAACCGAGGAGCCCGCGGGTGGCGCCTGAGTAAACACTCTGCACAGTTCAGGCCAATACGCGGCTATGACCCGCCATGGCATCACTGTGAGCTGGTGATATGGGAGGAGAACACGGAAGGGAGGGTAATTAGTGGCGACAACCACGAATCCGGGAGAGGTGTAATATTGTGTGTAATCCGGTTCGGGGTAGTCTGCTCCGTGCGGATCGTTGGTTATTGCGCGATGGAATTCCCGCTCGCACACTTGGTTTCTTATGTAATTCGGGAATTCCGGGTACGCTCCTCGCGTGCGATAGTACTCTCGGCGGGATTCCTGGATCCAGGGCTCAAAGTATTCCCTGTCCCAAGATGAGCTAGAGCCTGAGGACCGTGTCATCGTTGCGTGCGGTTCTCAGACATGGGTCCTCAGATATGCTCAACGTAATTTTTGGTTTGGGATGATGACGTCAATTATAAACTCCAACAGACAATCTGCATATACACCCAGCATAATGATAGCGGGCAACTAATTTCGTCTACACATCACGATGCAATCAAAACTTCACGAGGTTGTGAGCAACTAATCCCATACATAGTGAGGAGCAAAAGGAAATGATGCGCATTCCATCCATTCATCCACGTCGACAAAAGGCAATAAAAAGAAAAGGAAATGCAGGATGAGCCAATTCAAGCGAAAACCTAATCAGAGATATCGAATCGAAGGATAGGGGGCGGTCGCTCAATCAAAATTTATGTACACAGAAGAGAGGGGAAGAGACAAGAAACTGCAAACCCATGTCCACACAACTCACTCTCTCTCTCTCTCTCTCTCTCTCTCTCTCTCTCTCTCTCCGATGCGGACAGTCCGTCATCATGCACCAACCCACGAAGYTGTCACCCCGCTTAACCCTCCTGCACCCGTCGGGTTCGCCCGTGCCCACAGTCCGTCGTGGCCCACGTCAACCCCGCGCATTCGGCGTCAGCTCGTCGGATCGCCCAACTCCGCCTCTGCTCACCTCTTACTTAGCTCGTGTGTCGATCTCGCATCGCGCAAACCCGAGCTTCCAGTTTTCTAAGAGAAAAAGTTAATAACGCAGCCGGAATTTATAGCGTGCATGCATGCACGAAGAACACAGAATTACAAGGACGTAGATAGATGGGGGAAAGGGAGTGCCTACGTTTGCATGGCCGGGCCGCGGCGTGGGGGACGTACCCACTCCACGCATCGATCCGAACATGCAAACGCGGCTACTCAATGTAGGCAATGGGGGGGGAAGGAAGAAACGAGGCGGGAAGAAGAAGAAGCAAGAAACAGAAAGATACAGTTACAAAAGTGTGCGCCAAAAATTATAGTTGCAAAAGGATTAAGGCGCCAATCAATCAAGGTTCCGGCGCAGCAGCAGGAAAGAGCGCGCGAGCATGCAGAGCAACGCCCCAGAAAGGCAAAAATTTCAAAATTCGTAAATTCCTAGCTAGCCTGCCGAAAAGGTCCGAAAATAAAATCAAAATTCCGAAGGCCGTATGGCTCCGACCAAGATTCAAAAAGAAAATTCAAGAAAGAAATTCAAAAAGAGACATCGAAATTCCCGCGCGATGTCAGCGTGCCCAAAAGTCCGACAAAACAAGATTAAAAGCGAAAGAAAAGAAGAGACGTCAACGTTTGTTAATCGCGCCCTCGGCGCGCACTCCGCATCGGACCAAGTTTCGCCTCCTTTTTCCCCGTGTATTCCCAAATTGTCCCCAACTGTCATCAGAGGCTCGTGCAAGAACGAAGAAACGACAAAAAGGCAAGGGCACACATGCAATTTTCCATCAACCCGTCCAATCGACGTAGGACCCCGCTTAGCACTTCGCGCCGAAAGTCGCGCATTAAAGAAGCTAGTTCGTCACATATGTGACTCCCAGGGGGTCCAAAGATAAGCAAGTTCCTGCTTGCTAGCTGACGTGTCGCTTATCTTCGATCGATGGGCTGTGAATGGTCGATCTTCTTTTCTGCCGCATACCGTGCGAACGAGTGTGGAAGTCATGCTGCGCGGCAGTCGTATCCTGGTTGTCGTCATTCGTGGGGAAGAGGAAAAGGAAGACGATAGGCAGGCGGAGGTGTTGATGGGGGATGAGTCGGGATAGGCGGGAAGAAGCGTTCCAGCTCATCGTCCGTCTCCAGAAGGCTCCGATGATGGACGATTCTATGGAAGCGGGGGAATCGGCGGCCAGTAGTGGGGAGAGAAGCGAGATAGTCGGGATAGAGAGTGGCGAAGGTTCTAAGAAGCGCCGCGCGAAAGCGATCGCGGTCGGCGCATGCGGGGATTAACCCCGCGATGAGGCAACAAACCTCTACGGCGTTGATACGACGCCACCCAACGCTGAAGAGGAGTACATGGAGAGGAAACTCGGGGGAAGCACGCCGGGAGGATGAGGGGGGATGGACTGTGACAGAGAAGCGGATGGAGTAGTAATGACGGAAAATGTCGCAGGGGAAGGGGTTATGGGGGAAGACGGCGGGACGGGTGAGCTGGCGCAGGGTGAGGAAGTCATGGGGGCGGAGAGAGAGAGCCCGAGGACGAAGACCGATCGGCCTCATCTCGACATGCTCAAAGTGGGGGATGGGCCGCGAGGGAAAGGGAGGTGGAGGGGGAGCGGCTTCGTCGTTGGCGTCGCGGTGGGGAAGAAGGCCGGCGAGCGGACGGCCCAGCCATCTGGGCCACATGGCCATCGTCTGGCCGAGGTGGCTCCGGGTCGAGCATTGGATCGTTGCTGATCGGAAGATCAGCAACCGGCGCAATCTCCAGCTGGGGATCCTCGTTGGCGTGCTCCTCGTCGTTGTCGTCGTCGCTCCCTTGCTCGCTATCTTCTTCTTCGTCTTCCTCTTCGCTCTCCGTTTGCAGGAGCTTGTCTTCGTCTCCTTCTCGTTGCTGTGCCGGCTCCCCTTCTTCTTCATTCAGATTCTCCTCCTCTTCCTCCGAACTTTCTTCCGTGAGCTCCTCGCGGATTATCTCCTCCAATTCGTCTTCGTACGGCGGTCTGTAGAAAGCGGGATCCACGATGTCGCGCGGATCCAAGTAATCCAACCGTGAAGGCGGAATTCTCGATGGGAAGCCCTCCACGCAAGCTGACCACTGAAGACACGGCGACAGCGTGCGCGAGGTTATGTGGGGCACCAAGCGCGGTCGGCCTGGGAGACAATGCTGACGTCAAGATGATCGACCAGCTGCGCAATCGGGACTCAAAGCTCCTGGGTGAGAAGCCTCTGACAGCCTGGACGCACTGCCCCGTATAAAAAACCGAGAAGGTCCCCCTCTACTTCCGTCCGCCACGCCTGAATCAAAAGGATCTCCAATCGCTCAGACCGCGGATAATTGTTCTCGTTCCTCGTCCATGTCACCCGTACTTCCGTCAAACACAGTGAGAGTTCGATGAAGTCTCCGTGCGACGCGTCCCACTGAGAGGGATCAATAAGGGGAACAACCAAAGGATCTACGTAGAAGGAGAGGCGGGGATGAAGATCAGACTGCCAAAAGGTGGGGAAGGAAGAAGGAAGCTCGAAAGTAGAGATCGGGAAGGAACTCATCGGGGATGGAAGGGGATGAGAGGGGGTAATTGCGTCGGCGAGTCACGCCGATCCAGCCGAATGTTGTTGTACTCGATCGCTCGGATTGGTGCGATCACGTCCCCTTGGTGCGCCAGGAGCGGGGTCCACTCGTTTTGAAGATTGTGCGCCCACAGAAGCAATGTCGCCTTGATTCTCGTGTGTCGGATGGGGGGAATCGCCGTGAGATCCGCAGTGAAATTAACCACCACCGTTATTCTGCCGACGTCCACAGATGTTCGCTGTCGCAACCCGACAACTTCGGCCAATATGATCGCGTCAGCCCTCCCGTCGACGTGGATCTCTGCTGCCGCGTAGACGCCCTTCGAGCAGAAGAATTGCGCAGCCCGCTGAAGGTCCGGACTAAGATGAGGATGATGCACCTGCCGCAGTGTCAAATTCCCCCGTGCTACCAGCGCTTCTTCACTTAGAGCTCTCTCCTCCATAAAGCTCATGGCGATGGCGAGGGTGACGGCGTATCCGACAAAGATTGAGAAGGAGAAGGAGATGCAGAGGAGATAGAGTCGTCGTCGGGAGAGGTTGACGGAGAAGGAGACGGAACAGAGGGAAGAAGACAGAGATAGGACACGTGGCGTGTGATCGGGCGAGCCGATCGACTGCCGGAAATCTCGGGAGCGAGGCGCACGATGTCCACGCCGTTGGGTCCAAGTTCAATCACTCGATACTGTTCGAAGAATCGTGGCGCTAGTTTACCTTGGTGCGCACATTTCCTTACCTGCACGATGTCCCCTAACTTATACTGGGTCCTGGGACCCGCATTCCCGTTCCGGGCCTCGTAACGCCGACCTGTCGGCCGTGGGCGAATTTGGTGGACCGTTGGCGCTTCCGGGCCAGTCTAGGTAGGGACCGCTCCATGAGTTCCAGGTGCCTTTTGGCTTTGTCCCGAACGGTGGCCCTTGTGGGGCGTCGCTTGAGTCCTGATTCGTCTGGGAGGCTTGGTATCAATACACACGCGACACTATTGGTCCGCAGCTGGAAGCGGCTTGGGCCCGTCGATTCGTGGGGCGTTCCGCGATGGACCGCCAAGATGTGGTCGACAATATCAGGCCAGGGTGGGGGGTCTCGTGCCGCAATATTCCGCCGCAAGGCCGTTCTTATCACCCTATTCGCGTTTTCCACTAATCCGTTAGACTGGGACATGTGCGGGGCCGTGTGCCGTATGGAGACGCCGTGTATGACCAGGTTCCTCTAGACTTCTCCTCTAAATTTGACCCCATTGTCGGTAAGGATCTCTTCTGTGTCCTGGTGCATGCCCAGAAAGCGGTTGACGTACCGAGCGATTTTCGCGGCTTGTCGTGTCTTGCAGGGGTAGGCCTCGATCCACTTAGAAAAGTGGTCGACGAAAACCAGCAGAATTGAACAGTCGCAACTATTCGGTCCAGGGGGCACCACTATATCAGTAGTATCCATACTAACCCTCAAAAACGGCCTTTCAACCACAGTTGGGACTATCGACCTAGGCGGTTGGGTTGGGGCCTTGTCAGCAACGCAGACCTGGCAGTGTTGGACGATGAATTTAACGTCGTCTCAGATATTGGAACAGTACCATTGATTTCTGTCAATCGCAGCTTCGGTAATACGCACGGCAAAATGCGCCGCCGTTTCCTCGTGGGCGGTTCGTACCCAGCCGTACCGCATGAACGGGTGCGGGACTACTAACCATGCTCCACTGCTGTCCGTTTTACGTTTCTCGAACCGTCCATCTACCCATCGGTAATCCCTTGCTCTCTCATTGGCCCTCCTCCGATCCTCCTTGGAAAAGGTTTCGAGGGATTTGCCTACCACCGTGGCTATCAAGGCGACATCTGTCCAGACTTCCGCTCTTCTAAACTTCTCGATTTTGTCGGGGCCTTCCGACGTGGCATCGAGGAATCGGGCTTCCATCGGGATCTTGTCAGTGCGACATAAGGGACAGAACCAGGGTCTATCACTACTCCGATACTGGATGCACACACCGTGAGCACGTGCGACACATTTCCGACAGTCTACCCATTCAGCATATCCCGTCCCTTTTGGACACATGTGGACAGAATAGACTCGAGAAATTGCTCGCAGAAATAGCAAAATTTGTCAGAAAGGGAGGCGAAAGAAGAGGATGGGGAAGAAAGAGAGGGAATCAGGACATTACCTCCGTCACCCATTGCCCTTCACCGGCTTCTTGCCACGTGGAATAACTGCAACTTCTCCGTACTTTGGACCGTTGTTGATGTCCGGGTCCTTCCACGATGTGATCTCTTTTGCTTTTGGTACTTTACCGGGTCGGTGCAGACGTGTCAGTCCGTCGGTGTCGCCGTGTCTTTCCGTTTTTCGATGAACAATGTCAAATTCATATTCTTGCAACCGCACCGCCCATCGTCCGATCATGCCCGTGTAGTTGGTTAGCTTCTTCAGAGCCAACAGAGGTTCATGGTCGGTGACGAGCAGAAACTTCTGACCGTACAAATACGGGTGGAAGTGTTGGATACCCCACACTACCGCATAGCATTCTCCTTGTGGCGCGGAATCGTTTCGTCGCTCGTCTGGCACCGTCCGGGAAGCGTACTCAATGACGTGCTCCTTCCCATTGTTTCCCTTCTGCGCCAGAATGGCAGAAATAGCCTCCGGCCGCCAGTCGGTGATGAGAATAAACTGCCGAGAGGGGTCCGGGCGGATCAGAATCGGGGCCGTGACGAGAGCATCCTTCAGGGTCCCGAAGGCCTGGTCGCACTCGTCATCCCAATGAAGGGGTTGTTCTTTTCGCAACAGGTTTGTCGGAGGCCTTGCTATAGCCGCAAACCCCTTGATGAACCGCCGGTAGTACGGGGCCAGACCCAAGAAGGCTCGAACCTGCGTCAATGAGGTCGGAACCGGGGCCTCCTTGACCGCCGCGACTTTTCGAGAGTCCGGCCGCAGGCCTCCACGTGTCACCACATACCCCAAGAACGAGATTTCCGGAAGGAAAAACTCACTGTTTTCCAGCGCAATCTTGAAACCCGCGTCTCTCAACGCTCCCAACGTCCATTCGATGTGCTGCGCGTGTCCGTGAAACGTGTCCGAGTACACCAGAATGTCGTCCATGTACACAATGACACAAAAGTTGATCATCCCCTGAGTCAGCCGCGTCTTATTGACGAAATTCTGAAAAGTTACATTCATTGCCCGCTGAAACGTGGCAGGCGCATTGCAGATTCCCATCGGGCACCAAACCCACTGCCACGTGCCTGCAAACAAAACGAAGACGGTCTTGGGCCGATCTTCTTCTTTCACCAAGATATGATGAAACCCATGCCGAATGTCGAACTTGCTGAAGTAGTTAGCACACCTGATCGCATCAAGTAGATCATCAATCCGGGGAAGTCTTTAATCGTGATATGATTCAACTGTCGATAATCGATGCATATGCGGACTGACCCGTTCTTTTTAGGAACAACCACAACTGGGAACGACTAGGGACCGGTGGCAGGCTCAATCCATCCATTTGCCTCAAATTCCCTAATTCGCTGCAAGGCCGTCTTGCGCTCTGTCAACGAGTATCGGTACGGCTTGCAGTGGATCGGGGAATAATTCCCGGTCTGAATCTCATGCGGAACGACTGCAGATAATCCAATATCGGCATCGGACACGCTAATCGCCCCTTGATATTCTATTAAAATATCAGCGATCAACCGGTGGATCTCATCAGGTACATACTGGGGCACATGCAATTCATATATTTGATCCAAAACCCGAACGTTAACCTGCTTCGTGTGCATACGCCGAGTAGTGTCAGGCGGTGCAGATATAAAAGAGTGATCCGATCTCCAAGAAAACACAGTGGCCACCATCTGTGCTTCCTCCTCCCTGATCGCTGTATGACTTTCGGGGGTTATCCCGTCACAGATGTCTCGCCAGGGCACGTTTTTGGGCGAAATCTTGATCCCGAATTCATCGGATCTCGCCTCGATGCGCTGAGGGGGTTCCAAAGAACCTGCTTCAGCTCCCAAACGCAACAACTGAACCTCTTTTGCGGGTTGAAGCAGGGATCGAGGTAAGCCAGTGAGATCGCAAAAGGAACGCTTGTCACTATACCGAAGGAGAAGGGGAGATACGCCTTCGTACAGGGTCCGAGGGGGTTCCAAGGAATCAACCAGCCTCGAAATTTGTACGAGGGGTTCTCCCATGATCAACATGTGAGCATTCCGTGTGGTTAGATGCATGGTACGCACAATAGTGCGAGGCGGCGGGTAGTGAATCCGCTGCCGTAATAACCGTGTAACGACTGGGTCGTCATCGTCGTCGCTCCACGCGTCGTTCGATGATTGGCCTCCGTCCACAGGTGCATCCCAGGAGACCATGCGGAGCGCTCCCTTTGTTTCCGGAGAAAGTTGGGGTACGACCTTAACCGACGTTCGAAGAGTTAGTCTCATGGGTATTACATACGGCTTTCCCCCGGTATTCTGGAGAATGACCGATCGGCGTTCGAAGTCCAAATTAGCACGCAGCGCCACTAATGCAGGAAGCCCGAACAAGACGTCATACGTTTTCACATCCAGTAACACAACATCTCCTAAAGCATGCACTTTTCCCAATCGGAACGCGACATTCGTCATACGCCCTACTATCTTGATCTTCTCCTTGTCAGCCGATACGAGCTGGTCCTTCTCGGTTAGCATAATCAAATCATTCTTCCTACCCGCTCTCTTGACTGCTCGGAGGGATATCGCTAGGACAACCGCTCCCGAATCTATGATCGCACTATACGGCACTCCCCAGACTTCAATATCACATTCGGCTGATTTCCACGGAATCGGCTTGATCCGAAGAAAGTGGTCGTCTTTCTGTATTAATCCGACTCAGATGGGATCAGGGGCGACGTCCGCCTTTTCCTCTGAAGGCGGCGCCTTCGCCTTCTGATCTTTTGCGCGTGCAAGGGCGAATTGATTCCGGTTCGCTTTGCAATGCTGCATCATTCGTTCGTTCGCCTGTTCCGAGATGGAGAGTAGGTGGCCGATCGGGAGAGGGATTCGATGATCCAGTGCTCGAGTGACCTCAAGGACATCGATTTCTCCTGTAACAAAGGTAGGGCCCCCCGTCTCCATTTCGCTCGACGAAGGCCGCCATTCGGCGTTATCTCTGGACCCGAGTTTCGGTCGAATTGTCCCAATCATTCCCAGCCCCGGGTATCCTAGTGATACGTACTGCTCCAGCGGGATAAGCTCAGCTGCTTCCTCACTGGAAATCATCATTCCCATACTTCCCCCCTGATCATCCATCACGACTCCTACATGCCTTGGACCGTTAGCTATGGGAGCTGCAGGTGCAGGCGCGATCCCGGCTCGAGGCTGCATGGCACGATGGGGGCAATCTCGGGCCAAGTGTCCCGATTGATGACATGTAAAACAGGCATTTGTCGCGGTCCCGGCTGGCCCCGCTGCCACTTGGGAAGCAACCATGCCTCCCTGTATTGGTGCTCGCACCGCAATGGGTCGCATATTCCGCATCATAGCTTCTAATCGGGCGTTGTGCTCTCGCTGTTCCTTCTTGCTTTCCTGGATTAGACTAAACAATGTTTTAGTTAGCTCCAAGATAGCAGTAGACTCATTCGTTTTTGCGGGTGACTCGATGGTGGGTAGCGGTGGAGGTGGCCGAGTTACGTTTGGGGGCGCCATTACCGGGATCTACCTGTCTATAGTCGCTCCATGGGGTGCGGTCCTCGGTATTACCTGTTCTACATATGTAACGGGTCCAGCTACGAATCCCATGTTTTCGAATTTGTTTTGTAGTCCGGCCAGTTCCACCCTTGCTTTCACGAGTTCGGACGGGTCTCCTTCTCTACTGTAATCCTCATTTTCTAAGAAGCTAGCTGCGAACTTCCGCTCCATTTCTTCGGCAGCGTCCATAATTTGTTGTAGCGTGTGATTAATGGGAGAGAAGTTTTTACGTAGCTTCCCCCGAATCGTTCTGTTACGTAATCCATCAATGAACAGGTCCCGGCCTACCTGCTCGCCTCGCTCAGTCTTTACAAACATTCGATGAAATCTGTTCCGATACTCGGTAATGGATTCGAGTGGTTTCTGGACTCGATCCTTGATCATATAGAGTGCTTGTTCGGGGTTAACATAATCGAAGTGGTTCATGAAATCCCGCTCGAATGTGGGAAGATCCACCCATACATAAGTCCTATACCAATGATGGGCGTCTCCCCCCATCCGCGCAGGGATGTTGATCTGAGCTTCATCGTTCGTATACCGTTGAGCTCGGAGCGTGACCAACCATGCTCCGGCGAGATGGTATGCTGGGTCAAATAAATAAAGATCCGGTGGAGCCGCAGGGGTTCGCGCAAGCGGGTTAGGCAGTTGATTGGGGATGGCCGCCGCAGCGGCTGCTGCAGCAGCGGCCGCAGCCATGGCGCCTGCTCGCCTTGTGGCCGATGTTCGACTTCGTGTAGCTACAGGACTACGTCGACGTATATTATCAGCTGGAGGGCGCCTACGTGGAGCTAGATCGCCTCGCATTAGCTAGTATTGAGTCTACAGACCCTTATCGCTTAGCCACGTGTCGGGCTCCGATACCAACCTCACGCCCGGCGCGGCTTCCTGATCGGAGTGGGATGGGGGCCTGGAAGTGCCAGGTCGGAACTGGGATCTTTTGTGGCCGAGTTCAAGGGTCGTGGGCGCAATACTGCCGAAGGGCAGGGCAAGCGCGCAATTACCACCTATCTCACCGTTTCGGGTTTGATGGGGATCACTGTAGGGCGGGGGACTGCCACGCATCATGCTTGGAGACTCGAAAGGGGGTCGATCGTTGCGCACGCCGCGAGTTATGGGCGCGCTGGTCAAACCGAGGAGCACGCGGGTGGCGCTTGAGTAAACACTCTCTGCACGGTTCAGGCCAATACGCGGCTATGACCCGCCATGGCACCATTGTGAGCTGGTGATATGGGAGGAGAACAAGGAAGGGCGGGTAATTAGTGGCGGCAACCACGAATCCGGGAGAGGTGTAATATTGTGTGTAATCCGGTTCGGGGTAGTCTGCTCCGCGCGGATCGTTGGTTATCGCGCGATGGAATTCCCGCTCGCACACTTGGTTTCTTGTGTAATTCGGGAATTTCGGGTACGCTCCTCGCGTGCGATAGTACTCTCGACGGGATTCCTGGATACAAGGCTCAAAGTATTCCCTGTCCCAAGATGAGCTAGAGCCTGAGGACCGTGTCATCGTTGTGTGCGGTTCTTAGACATGGGTCCTCAGATATGCTCGACGTAATTTTTGGGTCGGGATGATGACGTCAATTATAAACTCCAACAGACAATCTGCATATACACCCAGCGTATGATAGTGGGCAACTAATTCCGTCTACACATCACGATGCAATCAAAACTTCACGAGGTTGTGAGCAACTAATCCCATACATAGTGAGGAGCAAAAGGAAACGATGCGCAATCCATCCATTCATCCACGTCGACAAAAGGCAATCAAAAGAAAAGGAAATGCAGGATGAGCCAATTCAGGCGAAAACCAAATCAGAGATATCGAATCGAAGGATAGGGGGCGGTCGCTCAATCAAAATTTATTACACAGAAGAGAGGGTAAGAGACAAGAAACTGCAAGCCCATGTCCACACAACTCACTCTCTCTCTCTCTCTCTCCGATGCGGACAGTCCGTCGTCACGCACCAACCCGCGAAGCTGTCACCCCGCTTAACCCTCCTGCACCCGTCGGGTTCGCCCGTGCCCACAGTCCGTCGTGGCCCACGTCAACCCCGCGCATTCGGCGTCAGCTCGNCCCGTGCCCACAGTCCGTCGTGGCCCACGTCAACCCCGCGCATTCGGCGTCAGCTCGTCGGATCGCCCAACTCCGCCTCTGCTCACCTCTTACTTCGCTCGTGTGCCGATCTCGCATTGCGCAACCCCGAGCTTCCAGTTTTCTAAGAGAGGAAGTTAATCGCGCAGCCGAAATTTATAGCGTGCATGCATGTGCGAAGAACACGGAATTACAAGGACGTAGATAGATGGGGGAAAGGGAGTGCCTGCGTTTGCATGGCCGGGCCGCGGCGTGGGGGACGTACCCACTCCACGCATCGATCCGAACATGCAAACGCGGCTACTCAATGTAGGCAGGGGGGGGGAAAGGAAGAAACGAGGCGGGAAGAAGAAGAAGCAAGAAACAAAAAGATACAGTTACAAAAGTGTGCGCCAAAAATTACAGTTGCAAAAGGATTAAGGCACCAATCAATCAAGGTTCCGGCGTAGCAGCAGGAAAGAGCGCGCGAGCATGCAGAGCAACGCCCCAGAAAGGCAGAAATTTCAAAATTCCTAAATTCCTAGCTAGCCTGCCGAAAAGGTCCGAAAAGAAAATCAAAATTCCAAAGGCTGTATGGCTCCGACCAAGATTCGAAAAGAAAATTCAAGAAAGAAATTCAAAAAGAGACACCGAAATTCCCGCGCGCCCAAAAGTCCGACAGAACAAGATTAAAAGCGAAAGAAAAGAAGAGACGTCAACGTTTGTTAATCGCGCCCTCGGCGTGCACTCCGCATCCGACCAAGTTTCGCCCCCTTTTCCCTGTGTATTCCCAAATTGTCCCCAACTGTCATCAGGGGCTCGTGCGAGAACGAAGAAACGACAAAAAGGCGAGGACACACATGCAATTTTCCATCAACCCGTCCAATCGACGTAGGACCCCGCTTAGCACTTCGCGCCGAAAGTCACGCATTACAGAAGCTAGTTCGTCACACATCCCCTAAGTTGATTGTGAGAGGTAGCTATGCTTGCGGGGATCCTCCGTGTAGGATTAGAACTAAGGGTAGGTAGGTTACTGTAGTGAAAGGTGAACTTGAGAGAAGAGTATAGCTTGGTTTTGAAGGGGGGGAGAAATCCAACCAGTTCACTCGGTTGAGGGTTACGGGCCAGGAGGCCAACAAAGTTTGTGAGGGGTGAGAGACTGCCGCAGATACCAGGAAACCAATGGGTTCCAACTGGCCGAGGTAGGTAGGTCCCTGACAGAGTTAGTCAGGTCAGTGAGGTAGGTAGCAGCAGGTAGGGCAGTAGATAGGATAGTAGGGTGTAGGCTAAAGAAGGGTCGTCTTAGGGAAGGGTCTTAGAAGCAGTTAGTATGCAGTCAGGAATCAGGATATTTTATTCATTACGAGATGTGAGAAACAAAAGGTGAGCTTAGTGATGCTCTCAGTGAGTTACTCTGGGTTGAATTGTGAGGTCCCTGGCCTCATTTGATATTGTTAAATCGAAATGAACTAGCTCCGGGTCACAGGGAGGGAGAGAGAGAGAGCGTTGGGCCAAACAGAGAGTGAGAGTCAGAGATCCGCTTGGACTGCTCCAGAGAATGAGATGGAGATGCGGTCCCAAGAACGAGAGACAGCTGGGGTTCACACACACATTGTGACATTGCAAGGTCCGTGAGAGTAAAGTCGGCCACTTTTCTCAGGGGTGTCTCTAACTCTGGGGCCTGGACGATGTGGTGAGTCCTTATCCATCAGTCAAATGCATCCTGGGCAAACTGTCCGGGTTCCACCTCCTGATGAGTCGGTGAAAGTCCCACGAAACAGTCTGGCACAGTCATGCTTCTTTTGAGTGTATAGCGAATCTGACAACACACACACACACACAACACACACAACACACACAACACACACAGATCCTGCAGCAGCTGAATGCCCTTGCGTCGGACCGATCCTCCCTGTCGTCATCTGCCCATAGAGAAGGAATAAAT